AAGACTAGAAAGGCGCTATATAAGTATAACAAGTACAGGTCCATTTACCAAGTATGAGGAATGACTCATTTTCATTTACACCAATAATTATATCCCTAACTGCTGCTGTGGTACTGTGCATGTTGTGTTATTTATTATTGTTGGAGGTTCCTCATATCAGATGTTATGTAAGCCCAGTGTTTTATTATATATCCACAGAGACTAATAGCACCACGCTAGGTGGGGCGTTTCTACCCCCATGTCAGCACTTGGACACACTCATTGTATAAAATCTAAGTATATAGATCTCAGGGAACTCCACTTAGTGTTTTTTATTTTCTCACTGGATCTATTAAAGCTAGATAAAATTGAAGAAACTTGCAAGAGACAGATTTTGAACCCGACAAAATCCCACCCCCTCCATTGAGGCCTCCCTCTAAAGCCAAGGCAGAGTGTGTGAAGGTAGGCAGATTGATAGGTAGACAGGTAGATTTCATTTGAATTCGAATGAAATGATTGGAAGGGCTTATTACGGGCCTGAAACAGCCAGTTACCTAATTAAAATAAATAATTTACAGCGTTTGATTTATTGATTGCTGTTTGGGTACAAAGAGAATTTCAACAAATATAACAAAAATGCTTCTGAAATATACCATTAAATAGCTTTAAAACAGTCAGTTGGTTACTGTTCAGTTCCTTAAAGTCCCTGTTAGCTTACCTGGTAGAGCAGGTGCGCCATGTACCATGGCTTCGAATTCGACCTGTGGCTCTTTGCTGGGCGTCACCCCCTGCCCCCCTTTTCTGCCCATCTTGAGCTGTGCAAACAATATTTAAACTTGAAAATAATGTTTTTAGATTTTTTAGAATTTTTTTACTTATTTTCTGTTTTGTAATGTTTTCCTTGTTGCTTGTTTTGGGGTTATCTTTGCACATATGTGAGTTAATTATTAAATTGTTTTTTTTTACCAAAGTTTTACAGGCAATTAAAATTAAATCAAAATATGTAGGCATATTTCATTGCCATACACAGTGTAGGGGTGTGCTGAAATTAAAACAACAGGAGAGATTTTATTTTCAGTTGTTTGTGTTTATTGACATAGAGTCATTGTCATAGTCATCAACACTGGTGACGTCCTTGGAAAGTGTTGCAGTGGCCCTGATGTACAAATCACATCTGTTGTCAAGTTATTAAATTTCAGTTTTCTAAAATGTAATGAAAAGTACATTTATACACATGTCTAAATATTTTTCATATACTGTGTGATATATTTCGGTTGAAACACAAGGCACTTGGACACCTTTGAAATACTGATTAGGATAAATCAATGTGCAAACAAGAATACAAGATAAATCAACACAGATACTGGCCACATGTGGCCATTGTCAGACATTCACCCTTCAAAAGTACTCGAGAGACAGTTTTTTAAACCATTGTTTGGCTTATTCTTGTGTACCTTTTTGTGTTTTAACATTCATATGAAGCAAATGTGTATGCATTATTATACAATACACACCTTTGTCTACCGAGTTCCTGTTGTCCTTATCAATGCAAAGTCTTTTCTAAAAAAGCAGGGCTGATCCTGTCTAGATCATTGTCTTGGAATGATTGATAGAGCAAAGAATTAGATGAGATAAAATACAAACAAGAAAGTTAATCTCAAACCTACATTCAGTTGCGTCAACACAGTTTTTTTTTGTTTCTTCTTGTGACTTTTAAAATCACATGGTCAAACAGATAGCTCTGTGTGGATTCTAATCTGTCATCAAACATCGCAGTGAGATAACTATACCATAAATTTGATGCGTGGCATCAAGGCTCGGGAGGGTTGATTTTTTTTTACATGAGTCGCCTTTTTATGGGAGGATTGAATGATTGATATCATATTTTGAAATTTAACCCCTTAATTGCACAAACTCTTAACTTTACCTAAAGGGAAAACTATAGATGTATGTAACAAAAGTAGATCTTAAGTCTACAATGCGTATACATATTCTTAAATGGTACATTCAATTATTGTGTATGGACTGTATTTCTCATTGCTCTCCATAATCATGCTTGTCCCATATTTATTTATGAGTAAAGAGACGGGTCTGTTGAAGCAGTCAGTGGAGATTGTCGGAGATAAAAACTACAAAGTGGTTAGTGTACCAGCTCTTTTAATGGCCTGGTTTAGTAAATCTGATTAAGCTGATTGTCTGCTGTAAAATGTTGAATGGGAGGAGATGGGTGAATCGAGGAATATTAAAGGGTAATTTCACCAAAATCACACGTCAATCTGTGCAGATAGATGTGGTTTTGTGTCACAAAGGTTTGAAATATCAACCTCTAAGACATCTCCACTTTCATATATACGGAATTTGATTTGTAAGATTCATAACATTGCAACAGGAGTCTACTACAACCACACTAGCAGCCCTGACTTTGAGCTACAAATTAATGTCAGCTTGCAAACACTCTCAGTGACAATGATCTTAAATTAAATCTCACATTTAAAAATCTTATTGCAAAGTAGTCCAAATAAAGAAATGGCTCACAGTGATGCCTGTGGATTATCTCATACAACAGGGAGCTTGTTTGTGGAAAGACAAGTTGAATTTCACTGTTGAATCAAATGTCCGTTTTAATGCTGTTTTCAGCAGAAGTCCAAGAAAGATATATAAAAATATCAGCTGGAAATCCACTAGGAGTATTTGTTTTTTTTGTAATTTGGGTGAATTGACCCTTCAAAGTTTGAGAGTTAAAATACGCATGCTGCTGAAACTTATTGCAACCCAACACCCAAAAGTCGTTTAGGTTTTGTACACTCAACACAAAGACTTCTGTACTTTTCAGTCTTTCAGTCCGTCTTCAGTTGTTTCAGGGTTGGAATGACTGAAGTCTTTTTTATGGCTCTGCAGGTGACAGCGACCTTTGATCCCTCACATGCACACACAAACACACACTCATCATAATCATGCATGTATGTCTCACACACCCGGACATAAAAGCATATAAACACTGATACAGAAAAAGACAAACACTCCCTGGTTCTGTGCATTGCTGGGGCACATCCTAGCTGACGACAGCTGGTTTAAGAAGGAGTGCCCTTGGGGGGACAACCACCCAGGACAAAGGGTCACTTCGCCTTGGCCCCACCCCTGCAGACAGGTTCAGCACTTGCCCCACCTCTCCTTCCTCCTCTTCCTCTTCAGGTTCCGTCTCTTTCCCTGCCATTTGTCCCAGACCTCTCAGTGCTCCCAGCCCCAACATGGATACAGCTGAAAGCCCAAAGTGTAACAGAGGAGAGTCTGAGAGGGCGAGCGGCCCCATGCCACTGCCTCCTCCTCCACCAACAGAGAAGAGCGGTGCCCCGTGGTGGCCCAGGGCTCTGGCATGGCAGAAAGCAGAGAGAGGCAAAGAGGACCCCAGACCTCCAAGAAGTGCTGCAGCAGCCCCGGGAATGATGATGTGGGCGCCGCCTACAGAAGGCAGTTCAGCGGCACTCTGGTGCCCTGGATGACCAAGCCCCAGCCTGCTCGGAGCGCCTTGTTCCTGGGCAACAAAGTGCCCATGGGCCTTGATGTGCTTGCGTAGCGAGCTGGGATCTGTGTAGCGTTTCAGGCAGCCTGCCATCTTGCAGTAGTAAGGCTTGTCAACGTAGTGGGTGCGAGTGTGTTTGAAACGGTCACTAGAGTTGGAGTAACGTTTGCTGCAGCCTTCATAAGGGCAGATGTAGGGTTTTTCTCCTAGAGGAGGAAAAAGGGAGAGAGAATAAAAGTAATGAGAGGGAGAATGAATAAATTAGGACAATTGATTACAGTAAAAATACAAAGTCAGAGAAGGCTTCACTGCAGGAGAAAGAGCCATGGAAAGCAACATTCAGTTGTATGTTGTGATAAAAAAAATTCTGCACTACAGTGAACCTTCAACTTTAAGGATCCCTGTAAATATTTCCTGTGTCATTCATTTACAAGGACTTTAAAGTGGTACATCAGCAATTTTGTATCACACTTTCATGAAGTGAAAGATAATAGAGATAAAGCTGTTTGTCAGGATTTCTGTTCAAAATGTTCTGTACCCCAGCCGAGATAACTCTGTGACTTCATTAGGGGATATTTTCTCAGACTTTAATACACAAGAGCCACAGGTGACATTGCATAACAACACACACTTGTATAGCAAGAGCACACTAAGCTATAGTGAAATCAACCTGAAGATAAGGCTAATGAGATATGACCAAAAGTCTCAATAGATGAGATTGTTTTTGCGTCATGACAGTTCCTGGTATACACGGACAGAAATATCAGGTAACAGAAGAACTCAGTTCATTTTAACAATGCGGAACTGATAAAGCAAACAATAAAGCCAGTGACACCAGATTCCCAGACCTTTCTGCATTATTCTAAAGTTACCACACCTTATGAAATGAAAGCTGTGTGTACCGTGTAAATGTTGGTCATTCATGAAATGACTCACTTAACACCAGGAGCTTTCAAATGCATCAAGACGGATCCTGTTCAAATTGAATGGCTTAATTGGTGTGTTTATGGTGCCAGTAATTTCCTAGTGGCTTGGTTTGAAAAGATTACACTCATACTGTGAAAAGAAAAAGAAAATGTATGTGTCAGACTGACTGATAGTAAGCAGAGCAGAACATGACAAAATGAAAGCACTTGGGCCACTATCAAATGACAGCAAGTAAAAGATTAATGTTTGCTGCTATGTACGTAAATGATTACTCAGTCCTGAGATCCTATTTTTCATCTTGTCCTTTTTTTCTTAAAGAAGTAATAACAAGCTCTGATCTCTGTCTCTCTGCTGTTTGTGAGCGATCTGTCTTACCTCGTCTTGTTTCGAGATACTGAAACAAGACTGAGAACAAAGTGCACTGTCCCTCCACCTACTGACAGAATACTTTCATATCTTAAGTACATCATGAAGGCTGAATATGAGACAAAAGGGCACGTTAAGATTGATGGCGATGCAAGTTTATTCCATGCTCAGTTTGTTTCGTGTTGCGTTTGATTCCTCTCAGTTTAGGGGAAAGACCAGACTTCAGTAAAAATCACAGATTAATCTCTGTGGTTCCACACTGGTGAGATCATTGATGCCCCACTCCCTTCCTTGCAAGACACATACTCGCCTCACCCTCCCCCAGCCACATCCTCGCCAGGCTGTCAGGAAGCTGAACCCCCCCCCCAAAATCACTCCGACCTGGACAAACTGCTCCTGCACTAACTAATTATTATTATTAGTTTTACCATTACTATCACCACCATACACATAGTTAAAATTGCTGCTATTATTTATTACATTTTGGACTGTTACTGTGTACAAATATAGTCTTACATCAATTTTTCTGCTGCCATTACCATCTGCCTTTTTTGCACTACCATAAGTATTGTATATGTATATTTATATTTTATGTCCGTTGTAATTTTGAATGTTAAAATTTTAGTATTAGGAAATATTCTGTTCTTATCAGTTTGGCTGTCACTTATCTGGTCACCGTGGGTGAACGTCCTCTCGTCATTCCTTGTATGTCTGTGCATGGAGAATTGACATTTAAAGCTGAACTTTGGACTTTGACTTTGGACTTGACATGGGCCTACAAGGCCAAACACGCACACAAAAATGTGATGAATATTAGCTTCTCTTCTGAGGCTGTGAACTATTAATAATTTTAGCATGCTTAACATGTTACTCTAAAAATGTTAACACATTGATGTTTTAGGCTGGTTATAATATCATGTTCACCAACTTAGTAGAATCGCAAGACAAGTGACACCATACTTTACACCTGATAGTATGCTATTCATTAAAAGAAGAGCAAAGAACGCACTGAGCGTTTTCTCAATGGAAAATGTATGTTCCAGCCTTTTGCAAAACAGTTCAAGTTACCGGTGGCTTTAATGTTTTACTTTGGACCCCTGCATCAACTCACCCCATCCTTACTTCATCCGCCCCCCACATCCCTGCACACAAACGAAACCTATTTTTTACTTTGGACCCCTGCATGCAACTTCACCCCATCCTTACATCCCCTCCACATCCCCTGCACACAAACGTAAACCCTTTTGTGCATTAGTTTTAAGTCTTTTAAAGGATAATACGATATTTGCTATTGTCAAAAAATCGCATGAAAAGAACCAAAAGCCAACAAGGGTTTAGTCCATTTCTCAACACTTTCTGACTTCCCTTCCATGCCTTTGGCTGTCAGTCCCAAGCCTGTTTGTTCCACATGAAGAAGGTAAATCTTTCAGAAAGAGAGACAGTCATTTTCTAAAACAACCGGGCACCACAGGTTTTAGCAAACGTTACTCAAACAAGACTAAATAATGTATTTGCTGGGAACTACTTTGAGGCATATATTTGGTTGGCTAAGTAGTATTTAAAGCTGCAAGATGTTAATTTGGGAAAAAAATACACAGCTCATCTATATAATAAAGAAAACATGTCATCCAGTTCAAAAGTGTGTCTCATTGATGCGTTTTTAATAGTTTATGGACAACACTGAACATCTCCAGCAGAGAGGAATAAGATAGATCAGGCATTGGATGCACGGACAACTAGTCGTACTTAGTAGTATGAATCATTGTTGATATTTGTCATTGTGAACTCACCTGTGTGTGAACGGGTGTGTATCTTCAGGTTCTCCAGACGGGAGAAGCTCTTGTTACAGGTGGGGCAATGGTGTGGCTTCTCATTGGTGTGTGTGCGGATATGAATCAGCATTTTATACCTATAAAAACATGAAGCATAAAAAGAAAGTGTGTTGTTTATTTATGTATGCTTTTTTAACTCTTTATCGGGCGAGGAACCATATATGGTCAATTCCTTATGACAGTTTTTATTACACTTCTATGGCATATTTTGGTGGGTTTTTTTTAATAGGTGATATACTAATATACACTGTTACTGCTTTCTTTCAAGATCTTGATTTGCTTATGGCTTATTTATTACATATTTTTTATAGTATATTGATGTGGCATTTTTCTTTTGCAGTAGCTGTCTGCTCAGTCCCTTTATGGTAAGGGGGGGGGATAAAATGGTGGATAAAATGTCTTCTTATATCCACCAATAACACTCCAGGGTTGACATTTTAAATTTCCAAGTATTTCAATGAGTGCCCTATAAAGGGTTAAGGATGTGGCTGTGACTGTGATATGTAAAATGTCACGATCCAGTCTAATAACTTGCCTAACTCGAATTACTAGACTCATTCACACTCTTTCTTTTTCTGTCTACTGCCAAGGTGAACCAGGAAACTACTGCACTTAAATGTTGCTTTTAACTACTTTGCATGCAGCCTGGGATCATTTAAATGGGATAAAATGTGTGATGAAATACAAGTTAAACTCTCAGGTGTGGGTCTTGCTGGTATGGCAGTACAGCATTGACAAAACAAAGGAATGACACTTGTACAATTCTGTATATGTTTAATTACATATCTGGTAAGAAAAATGATTGCAGCCTGTGTTTGCTGTTCATTATCATATATCAATGTAAATTAAATGCCTTTGTGTTTTTCATAATTTTTCTAACTTTAACTTTAATTTGGATAACTGTCTGTGTGTATAACCTGATAAAACATTTTATTAACTGTTTACTTTTCTCATGTTTTGTTACAGTATGATTTTATATGTGTATTTATTAACTTTGGTAGGTGCTATGTAAATAAAATCTATTATTTATGTTAATACATGAGTCATTTCCCTTGTTTGTGGCATTATGTTTTTGACATTATGTTTTTTTAACCCAATATTGTTACACAACCATTTGCTAATAACATTTAATTTTTTCAAAGGCAACACACTCATTATTTTAACTCATTAACTATCTTATTGCAAATCAGATTTTAAGGGGCGGGCCTGCAGTCATGATTTGTCCTAATCCCAGGCTGACAACGTAAACACCATGTTTGTTGAAATGTCAGTGATAACACTGTGAACATACCTTGCATTAAACCCTCTCCCATTACGAGCACAGCCCTCCCACTGACAGCAGTACCCAGAATCCTTTTCAGGCTTGACATGGAAGTCGTTGATGTGATCCACCAAGTCCTGCAGCGAGTCAAACAGCAGGTGGCACTGGAGGGTAGAGAAGAAGAGAGATTCTTCATTGAGGGTAAATTCAGTTGGTAAAACTCATGATTAGAAATACTGCATAATTTCTCTGACTGTTTTTTGGAAGTTCCCACATCATACATGTATTAACATCCAGATTTTATGCTCCCACTCCATAATGACTTGAACTTTTCTGCTTTTTGTGAATGTAAATGTAATATCATCAAAGGTTTTATTATCAAACCAGTTTAGACTATCGTAAAAAACTTTAAATAAAGACCTTGTTTGATGCTTTTTGTCATATTGTCAGCTTATTGCAACTTAATACAGTATGTCTGATTATGTGCAGTTAGAGTTTTTATATTGTGAAGCACATTCACAGTGGCCAAGGAGACAAATCCCCCACATTTTATATGCAAGAACCATTATCTTATCTCCTCCTATATAATATATATATAATATATCCTACATATCCTACATTTCCTCACCATTTTTTAGTATTGTAAACCTAAGTCATCTTCATCCTCTATACCTCTTTTTCTGTGACTGACAGCGATAATTTAAGTTTGTTTTCCGCATCACCTATTGGCCAGAATAATAGTTGCAGTCTTTTACCCAGCCCTCTGTGATATTCTTACAGTAGACAGTGCATCGGATGTTTTCACAATTATATTTACCTTCATCCAACGGCAGGCCAGCTGACCATCCAACGAGGGCTCTGGTGAAAGTTGCTTCTCTCTGTTCTGACCAATGAATATGGAGGAGGGAAAGCTGTACGCCCTCGGTGGGCTTCCAATTGGCAGATAAAACGGATAACCCTGCGGTGAACCTCCGCCTTCCATACCTCGGTGACGAACTGGTTCCTGAGAGAGAGAAAGATGGAGGGATAAGTCAACAAACAAAAACATTATAAGAATAATGTGTCCCAATTCGGAATAACGTAGGATTTCCTTTTCTTCCGGTTTCACTGGTACTGCATGAATGCAGCACGAACACAGACACATGAGTGATACATCTGCATTAAGCTGAACAAAAATATGTTAATATTGGTAATCAAATATTTGGGGGAATATATTTGTCCAGTGCACCCTGCAAATACCATGAAGCATATCTTTCAGCACTGCCATTACTTCACCAGTGGAGACAGACATGAAATGGATCTCTTGTCTCTGCCACAGTCTGGTAACAGAATGACACACAGTCACAATGTATCATGGGTGTCTGCATCACTCGTGGCTATTATCTACTGCCGCCTGTCTAATTACAGTCATTTTTTTAAACAAATTAGCTCTAAACTTTTTAACAATTTTAGTTTTAGTAAGTACTTGACTTTTGTAAAAAGTTCTGTAAAAAGAGTAAAAGAGAGACACAGGATTGTTATATTTTCCTTTGTCTCAAAGGTCAGACAGCTTTCATAATGCCATGACACTAGCTAGTTATTCAATACTAGATGAGAAAAAAAAACTGTTTAGTTCAATAAAATTTTTTTGTATGAAACAAACTGTAGCACATCCAGCACTGGCAGAGAACACATTTTAACTGTGTAAGAATGGTGGTGTAGTTGCAGATTGCATCTTTACTCACTCTTTTCAAGTGCATAAGAGAAACTACGGTGGCCGAAATGTGTACAAAATCGTGAGCAGCCCTTTCTAGAGCCAGTGTTTGCTTTATCTGTTCTGTGCTACGGTAGAAACATGGCAGTTGAACATGGCAGACGTCACAGGAGGTCTTTTCTACCAGTGGCCATCAAGTTGTATAAATCCTCCCCCTTCTGTCGGAGAGAAAGCTGACACATCGGACACTGAGAACAACAATTTCATTATCATGTGCAATATTACTTTTCAATATCATTGCCAACATACTTTTCTATTCTAGTTTATTTTAGTTTTAACTTATTTTGTGTTTATTCTTTTAGGAACTAGTGTCAGCATTTACTCTTTAAAAAAGTTTATATTTGAGAATCTAGTGTTACTGTAGTTATTGAGAGATCTCTGGCACAAAAATATGTCCCTCAAGATTAATAAAGTTCTTGTCTTAACAATGAGAAAAGAACCTGGCCTGGTATTGAGCCCAGGGATTTCTCACCTTTGACCTTACTGAAAAGAAGAATGATTCATAAATGGTAAGAGGAGAAGGTCAAATTCTATTGTTGGTGCTGTTCGTCTTGTTTACTCTGAGGAATATTACTGTTGCTAGAGATTTACAATCTGTTTAACATTGTTGTTTAAGTGCTATACTGCTTGGCTAAATACCTTTTATTCTTTTTAAGAACTGAATGATGAAATAAAGGTATTTTTAAAGATGGTTCTGCATGTTTAAAATTGGAAGAAACTTCACACAAGTGACTGATTGTGGACAAAAATGTGCTGCAAACAGTTTCAAAGACATCTTTGAAGCATGTCTGGGAGAAATAATGAGTGCTTTTTACAGTCCCCCCTTAATGCGTTAGACAATTTAAAATCGGTATTTTCTGAGCTAAAAGATAAATCTCAGCCGAGAGAGGAGATTTGATGCTCTAACAAAGAAGCTGTGTGTTTCATGTTTTACCATTCAAGCAGGCTAGAATTTGATTTAGACAGAGTCAGTGGATGGCTGTGTGCTGTGTGCAGACATTGCACCAACAAATTAGATTCACTCCCTGGATCCCAATTCAATTCAGTCCTGTTGAAGAAGAGTGGAGCGCATTCAGCCACAATCAGTAGTTGGCTGGAAGAAGACTGTCATCATGGATTAACTGCTGACATGAAGATGCACACCTAAACAGAGCAGTCTTTCCTCGAGCGTAGCTTTATGAAACAGAACAGTTTGATTCTTGTGATGAAATGCATCGGATGACAATGTGAAAGGGGTCGCTTGTAGTGATGAACTTACCAAGAATTATGACCTGAATCTGCAGCTGCCCTCAGCTTTACAAAGCTTTATAGTGAGTTTCAGCAAATTGTTGAACTATCCAACCCATAATTTTACTGTTACTATTTTACAGTAAAAAGGCTTAACCAAAAAAACAACACTGTATGCTACCTAAAGCTGTGACAGGACAAAGGACAGTAGCAAGTTCATAGTTGGTACCTGTTTGCTTATATAACATTAAAAAGTGAGCTTTAGAGATGCTGGTAGGCAGGTTTTGATACATTTGGACAGAGCAGGCTAGCTGTTTCCCCCTGTTTCTAGGCTTTATGCTAAGCTAGGTTAAGTTGACTGGCTGCTGGCTGTGGCGTCACATTGACACTATAAACATGAGAGTGGTATCAATCACCATTCTTATATGGCGTCTGATTGATATGATTTTTATAGATTTACATAACTGGATATCAACACTTGTCCTCACAATACTTGTAAAGCGTCTTCTCTGGCTGTATTCATTAGACATTTTGTGAGAATAACTTTTCTATTCGTCTTTCCATCAAAGTGTTTAATGTACTTTGCACCTGCCAGCCTGACCATATCCATATCTGACATGAAGGATCATTGGCTGAAGTCATCATCTTTCATGGAGCCACACCGTGAAATGGGAAGTCAACTTTTGAAATCAAATCTAAAAATCCACTTTAAAATGACACATCACTGTCATTTGATTGTTACTGCGTGGACACCTGGACTCACCCGTGAGAAGAGATGTGGCTGAGGGCTGCGGCTGCTGTGAGGGGACTCTAGGGGTGAGGAAGGGGAGAGGGATGAGGGGGAGGAAGGAGATGGGGAGAGGGAGGAGGCATGGCGGGAGGAGGGTGACAGGCTGAGGTCCATGGCTGGAGGACTGAAGCAGGACCTGAGTCGTTCTTGAGAGGAAGACTGGGAATCTGGAGATCAGAGTTGAAATGGGAGGACGTTACGTTTGATACACTGAAGTAAAACCTTTCCATATCAAGGCAATGTTAAATTTACCTTAGCTCGAATCAAGGTAAGGGAAATATGGTGCCTTTGCTGTTAAGACCACCACCACCTCCTTTGCCTCTTGTTAAAGCAGGGTAACAGTAAAGGCCCCTTTACACTGTGCAATTTTGGGCTGTCTGAGACTAAAGTAGGCAGAGAAATGTGGTAAAATCTTCAATCAATTCAAAATGTTGATTCTAGATCTCACTGTGAGACAGCAGAGATTACAGCTAAAAGGTTACAAAGTATGCCGTGCTGATAAATCTTCACTGGAGCTGTAGTTTTTTGTATGCTGACAAAGTAATCGTGGTTTAACCTTGCTATAATCACAAAGGTTTGAAATATGTTTCTCTTTGCAGAAAGACAAATGAAAGAAATTACAGATACAGTTACAGATGCTAATGCAACAATGGCTAGCTCAGAGGCGAGGTCAGAGTCAGTCTTTAGCACTCTATAAACTGTTATGGGTAAATTGTGTTATTGACCACCCGACTAATTTAAGACAAGTATTGCTCTCATTTTTCCCCCGGTTCTGTTGCTAATAAACATGAGAAGATGTGGGTCTTTAACTTCTAGGTGTTCGAAATGTCTGCCGGCAATGTGTTGCTGGAAAGTGAGCGTGCCAGGGATGTGTGAGGGTTTATCAAAGTCTTGTTTTTTTGCTAAAAACAGCTGCCTGTGGAGGGAAACAATATTAAACAATTAAGAGGAAAAAAAACCTAGGACTGTAGAGTTGGCTAAAAACTTGGTTAGTCACTATGAGGGAAAATTCTGATTCATATTGTTTTAAGTGCACAGTTTAGACAATACGAGTCACAAACACACTTTAGACATTCTGCACATTATTCCACACTTGGTCTGTAAGGTCATACAGTCCATTCACACTGTCACAGAGCAGAAGCAATGTTGTGGTGATCTTTTGGGTCACTTCATGTCAGTATCACGCTCTCCTTGTTATGAGCCACACTGACAAATCTGGGGACAATGTATGTCTATTGGAGGATAGAAGAGAGCTACCATTCATTGGATTTCCAATATTAAGTTACTGGGAAAGTGAGAACATAGAATCTACTTATTATACTATTACATTATCACATCTTAATCTTAATCACGGCAACATGGCAGCAAAGGCATGTCATGTGTGTATTAGAGAGAGGGGAGAAAGGATGGGGGCTTTGTCGATAGGCCTGTTGTGAAGAATACCTTATGCTGTGCTGCAGTTTTCATGGTTAACTCTTACCTGGGGAGGAGGGTGGAGAAGGAAACGTTGTGCATAGCAGGCGTGGTCGTGTGGCGCTGAGAGGGGCGCAGATGGAGGAGGGATACGCCCTCTTTCCTAATCTCACTGGACAGTCTGTCCGTCCTGAGGGAAGCTTTAAGTCCAGCGGCTCGTCCAATGACAGCATGGTTGCTGGTTGCTCTTGCCCACCTGAGGAGAGAGCACCATCATGCAGTCAATCCGTCATAAACAACTCTCAATATCTTTCCTCGATTGAATGTTCAATGTATCATAAATTAAACTATCCTTGTTATGAACACTATCTTCGGATGTTTGCACCAAATGTCTTCAGCCATGTTGATTTGCCTGCCAATGTAGCTTTCAGTGTGTTTTTGAGGGTATAAGTGATTTTACTTTTCTAATTTTGTGCAGTAAGGTTGTTACCAAAATGTGTTTTTGTTTTTGGATTCATGTTTCAATCAGCATTAACTTTTTATTTTTGTTTTTTGGCATTTTGGCAGCAGTATAAGCTGTAAACACAACATTGATACTAAATCTGTCAACTTATAAAGCTGATGGGGTAAATTCACAGATCTACCAGACGCACAGCGACATTAGCAATTCATTTGAGGACACTATTCACTCTGTTTTTGCTCTGCTTTTGGTCTCTAAAAGCTCAGGAGGGAAATATCTGTCTCTTAAAAGTGGGGTCAGCCATTCTAGAGAAAGATAGTTGATTGTTGAGTCTCATTCCCAGGTCGTCAAATACCGACGCTAACTTAGCAATAGTCACTAACTGTGTCAGTCTGTTGTTTGGTGCTGGGCCGGTAACGTACAGTGGGCTTATGAGAGCTTATTTGCTGAAAAAAGCTGTCTGCTACATCTGAAAACACCACTTGAGAGCAGTAAGAGTGAATCAAAACAGCCAATGAGACTGTAGGATTTTAGTAGTTTACATACTTTTTTGCTGTAGTACAATTACTCTGCACCAGTCCTCCATTGACGTCAGTGCAAAGCACAGTTCGATCTGAAGTGTGACTGTGACACACACCAGCCAAATTAATTAAAATAATTTCTATAAAAATGTCCACTTTGCTTTTACAGACAGCCGAACTTTCATTTTAGTTTTTTTCTGTTTTAAAAAACTGTTTGCATTTTTGATTCTTATGAAATAAATCCTGTAACATTAGTCCCAGCGACAGTTGGATCCTATGTGATCCTATTCAATTATTATACAAATATTGTGGCTTGTAGACAAAATAGTAGTGACTGTGGTAAACACGGCATAAATAATTCACAGTGAGTGTTTAACGACAGCTGAAAGTATGCAGCTTCAGATTTCCTTGAACAACACATTTAAAATGATATGGCACTACAGATTGTACAGTATATTCAAATAAGTTTACATTCATGCAAATTTTACTTTCTTAATGGGGTTACTCACTTGTAACACCCTTTTACACACAATCATCACCACTAAAATGACCCTGAGGAATGGAGGCATGACCTTCAATATTACACAATAACAATGCAATGATAATGTAAATGATAAGGAAATAAATAGTGGAGTAATAATAATACAAATGAACTCTGCAATGGTCCTAAATATAGTATTCCAGCTGAAACATATTGTTTTACATAAATGAGTGTGGTAAACTTAAATAATAATACTTTAATTAATTTAAAATGCAATGTAATGTTAGACTAAGACTTTTAAATCTAAAAAAATGACACATCAGTAACCTACATGAGACAGATGTGGCAGTTAGCTCTTTCAGGGCCAAAAACGATCATCTCTGCAGGCTCTACAAGATATTTTAACTTATCACAGTTAGGACAAGTGTAAATGATAAAATCAATGATGTTTCCGTTTCAGGGTTCTGCTATTGTGTATACTGGTTCACTGTGCTCACTGTAACTGCTTACTGGCACACTGGAATAGAACAGAGCTATTGTTGATGTTAGTAACACCTGTGCTCTCCCTATTATGACAAGTGGAAATGAAAAATGTCCTATCATGATGTATGAGATGGTCAAATAATAAACCAATAGGGGTGAGGATTGTGCATTAAAAGTCTGCTTTATTTAGTTTTCCGTTTCCAATTTTTCTTTTCCAACTGAAATTATAGACCTGCTTTACTTCTGACACCAGAAATTACAATAACCTAGATTTAGCTGTTGTCCAGTTCTACACCCATTCAGTCAATGTGAGAAATATAGCAGGGTCCAATCCTGTGTTGTGAATTTCAGTTGTTGCTCAGTTCCTGAGGGAAAAAGCTCTGAGAAGCATTATGATGTGGGTTTGTTATTGCGATCCTCTACATTTCTGTGGTCAGCTTCACTGAGGGGCTTAACAAGATTTTGCAGTATTTTTCCACCCGTGGTGGTATGATACTCTGAGTGAAGCATGAGACAAAAAGCTACCCTGGTCCATGACTCAACTCATGAGTTCTTGTTAGACCGAATGACTCAAGACCCAGATATCTGCTTCAAAGGGGGAGAAAAAAAAATCTCACAAGCCGAGACCAAAGGGGGAAAACTCTGCAGTGAAGTGGATCAAACCTGTGAAGAAATGCCGGACAGCTGCTGTGAAAGAAGTTGACACAACTCATACTTTGGTTTTCAGTGATACTCTGCTTCTCGCTCTCACTGTTACACAACATCCACACCTCAGAGCTGCCTGGCACATCCTCAGTCCGCTTTTTGTTTTAAGAGCATCTCTGCAGGTCTCAGATCTGCTCAGTTTACCGTCACTCAGCATCTTTTAGTAATACGATTTCTCTGAATATACCTAGCAGAAGTTTCCGTTAGTAGAGACGAGAGCTGACTGATACACCGGCAGTGCTGATATTATCATTTATAAATCATTATAAATTGTCATGTATAATTCTAGCTTATGAAGTCAGTTGACTTATAAATTAAGTACAGCCATTTAGAAAGCAGAGTTGCAATTACATAGTTTGTCCACCAAACAACCCGCTCTTTACGAGGTTACTTTTTACACAGTAAATAATACAAACAATAAATCATGGAAATATATTGCAGATTATAAAAGTTTTATGAGCTACAAATTAACAATTTATATCCATTTTGTTTACCAAACACCTATTTACAGACAACAGAATGTACAGTATGTTATCTTAGCAACATAACTTATGTTTGTGAGAGGTCGCTTTTGTCCACAGGTGCCAACAAGTTCTCTGTTGATGCTTTACATTTGGAAACAAATCTACCTTGCAGACTTTTCACTCTGACTTGAAACTTTACACTCACAGCAGAAAAAAGGTTTTCAGATATTTGTTTTTCTATCCAGTTGTTATATATTTAGCTAGTATTTGCCTCCAATGGAACTTCTCAATGGCGCCAGACATGGGTTGCAAGCCGATTTGTGACACAACTGCAAAACCTCTATTGGGTGTCTCACTATATGGCTCTTTAATGATAGCTGGCAGTAAGAGCATTCTTAATTTACTTTCACGGGCTGAATTTCCAAACACAGTCTGGGATTCAAACTGGCAACTTTCCAGCTGCACGTACACCTCTTTAACTTCTAAACTTGCTGTCACCACAGATTCTTCCACAATCACCGACAGGATCCCCCGACATAATATGAGGCAGAGGCTAAACCACAATGAAGTCAGTGTTTAGGTCCTTCTGCCGGCCTGCCAGCTACCTCACCGCACTGGTTTCACATTCCACAGCAACCTCGTTGACTTCTCTCACACACATGCGCTGTTATTTGGAGGTATTGTGACGGCACGCACATACAGGACCATATGCATCCAGGCACGCATGCAGACTGAAGTCACACCAGCAGGCATGCGCAAAACTCATAACCACACGTGAGCCCCCCACCCACCTCCAGCAGCTCCTCCCCTTCTTTTCCCTCAATGACCTGCGTTTGGGCAGCATGCCCGGACCCTCTTATGGATCCCCTACTGCCTAGCAAAACACATACTTTTACTATTCACACACTTGCACATAAACATATATACTTGTGCACACATGCATGCGCACACAGTCACATATAGTGTATATTCTAAACACATGTAGGAGTAACCCTTTTTCACACAGCAACACACACACGTTTGTTTTCCTATACTGGTGAGGACCCTCATTGACATAATGCATTCCCCTAGCCCCTAACCTTCACCGTCATAACTAATTGCCTAACCATAAACCCTTATCCTGACCCTTCTAAACAAGTCTTAACCTTCAAACAGTCCTTTGAAGTAATGGGGACCAGCTAATATGTCCTCATTACAATCATTTAGAACTGAAAGTGTCCTCACAAAGATAATAATACTCTCTCTCTCTCTCTCGACACACACACACACACCCGGTCTGACACAATGTCTTTAGGAAAGCCATGGATACGAAACACATTATTCAACATGATTTCTGCCGTCTCTTTGGCAGACGGCAGTTTAGGCAAGGCAATANNACACACACACACACAGAGTACAAATGCATATGCATTTATAGGTCTGGTCACACCCAGGACTGCAGCTTTTTAGTGGACTTACACAGTAGTATACACATGCATACACAGTTACACCTGCAAATAAACAATTCACCCTCAAGCAAACAACATAAGCAGAAACTAAACACTTTGCACACAGTTGTATGCAAAAGAGTTCGCACATACAAACACAGATGCCCCCATGTCCTCAGGAAAGCAGCAATGCACATACCTACATATATACTTTACATTCAGTCACACATATGATGGACCACAGTGGAAGTAAGTTCTGGTCTTTGTCGAGTTATCGTTGACAATATCTCATGCGTCGTTTTTTTGTTTTTAATACTGTATTTGAACTTTTGTCGAATAAACTAAATACAAATTCAAATTCTGTGCACTGGAGCTCTTTAGTGCACACGGTATACACATGCATATACACACCAAAGTTCCCATATAAATGATAGAAACAAGTGTTTTTTTCTACACACAATTATGTGTAAAGCTGTACAGACACACATACAGAGTGGATGCCCCCCTCGGGTATAACGTACAATAACACACAGAGTCTTTCCACCTCTCACAGGAAACATTTGCTTCCACAGCGCCCTGATCTGGCCTCTCCCTCCCCATTTTTTTTTTTACTCCTCTCTCCCTCTATTTCCCTCCCTCTCACTCCTTCCTGTGGTTTTCCTCTCCCAGTCCTCCAGCAGAGCATACCTCTCCTGTTCTCCTCCCCTCTCCTCTG